GAACAGGAACAATTGTACTTTTGTTAACCAGTGTATTACTGTTATCTAGAAAAGTGCCTTCCTAGCACATAGAAAACTCTCAATAAACATTTGTTGACTAATGTACCCAGAAAATACATCTATTTGACTCTCAATCCAATAGAATGGAGTTGATTGTGCAGGTATTATTTCTTCACTAAAGAAGTAATAAAATAGTCTAAGAGACATTAAAGAATTATCCTAAAATCACATAGCTTGTTCTCTAGGAATATCGGAGTTAAAATCCAAGTGTTTTGACTCTTAATCCAATGTGCTTACTACTTACTATACTACACTGCTTTTCTGATTTTTGCCTCAAGCGCTAATCATCTTTTTGAATTATCACTTCAAAACATCTGTTACTTCAATACTTATCAGCAGGATATCAGCATTGTAGGAAATCCCTAGTAAAAACAGATCTACTGTTGTCTAGCTGTTACAGAGGTTATAATAGTGTATGTACATATGTGTATGCATATATGTTTGTGAATATATATGTGTGCACATATATGTAATATAAATAATATGTATATGTTGTATGTTAAACATATCTTTAAGGGTGTGCTTGTTTAAAAAATAATTTTAATCATCATAAACTTAATTTACATTGATGTACTGTCTTAGATATCCTTAATCGCTGTAATAATAACCGCCATCATAATTTCATTTTACATAACTCTATTCCATCTTTATCCTTTGAAAACTTGAACATGTGTATACAGTTATATTAATTCTAAAGAATCTTGATTATTTTACACTGGACAGAGGATTATTGTGACAAAAATATTGGATTGGAAAAAAAATTAATTGCTGATTAATCTAGTCTCTGAACATTTCTTCCAACCAAGTTATTTTAATTGATTTCCACTTGCAGACAGTTTCCTCATTATATAAGAGGTTAATTCATGTATAACTTTGGTTAGGTGTGTAATCTTCCTAGCTAAACTTCATTAGAAGTTCCTGCCTCATGTTGTATGCTCTCAAATAGAATATTTCAAAGCATAAAATTCTTTACTTTTCCCATGAGATCCATAGAAAGGCTTTGAATACTTTCTAGATATTTCTAATAACTTCAGAGTCTAATGCTAAGTCAAGAAAGTCTGGTATTAGAGCATGTGATTTAAATTCTATTGTTCCTTAAATAATAAACTTTATATATATGTATAAATATAAAATTCTTGCTGGAGGGGAGAGGGGGGAAATGACAAAGTTTTTCTAGAATTGGGAAAAAGAAGGTTCCTCAACCATTGCCTTAGCTTTCAGCCAAACCACATGAGTATGAGTGCATTTTCCATTTAAGCCTGGTTGATCTGAAGAGGACTGGATTTCAAACCACCATTATTTTGTCAAAAAAGCACGTTAACCATGGCACTATTTATAATCTGGCTGAAGTTCCTTCACAATGACCCTCTGTCTTGAACCTTTGCAGTCCAGATTATAAAATGTTTATCTTAAAGCAGAATGACTTCACATGCCACTTAAGGGCACCCTGGTGAGCTGACGTGAAGGACACTTTTGGTCAAAGGATTCTCTTCTTTGCCAATGAAATTGTACTCAACTGAGTGAGAATGTGGTTTGAGGATAATCATTACGTATATATTTTAATAGAAAAAACTATGTAAGGGAATACACCAAGATTTAACAGTGGATTTATGTGGAAGGTGATATTTCAGGGAATTTAAATTTTTAAAATATTTTTCTGAAGCATCTCAACTTAAACTATGAACTTATATTTTTTATTAAAAAAATTTTCTTTGTAAATGACATAATATGTTATATTGGGCTTATGCTTACTCAAAGCTTTTGTAATGTTTTAGAGTAGCATTCCCAAGTGATTTTCGGAAACACCGGGGTAGATGATGTTGACCACGTTCATTTAAAACATGGTTTCTTGGAGAAATGAGCATGGTAATGTCCAAGACATATCTTTCAGCAGCATACATAATAAGCAGTTTGACAGCAATGGTAACTTTTTTTTCCACTATATATTCACTGATGACAAATAAAACTACTTGAACATGTGACAAGGGAGCTATATTAGAAGGGAAAGTATAGAAAGTGAGTCTTCTGATTATCTTGCTTCCCCCAGGCTGCAGATGGAATCATCTTCTAACAATCTAAAAACAGCAGAGAGAAATATTCCATATAATTGGCAAGTTCACTTCTTCAGAGCATTTTATGATAGATAGAACAGAGTTTTAGAAAAATTTTATTGGAGTATAGTTGATTTATAATGTTGTGTTAGTTTCCGATGTACAGCAAAGTGAATCAGTTGTGCATAGATATATACCACTCTGTTTGAGATTATTTTCTCATATAGGCCATTACAGACTATTTAGTAGAGTTCCCTATGCTATATAATACTTACCAGTTATCTTATTAGTTATCTATTTTATATATAGTAGTATGTATATGTCAATCCCAATCTCCCAACTCAGCCCATACCTCCTTACCCCCCTGGTAACCATGTTTATTTTTTACATCTGTAACTTTATTTCTGTTTTGTAGATTAGTTCATTTGTATTCTTTTGGTAGATTCCAATATAAGTGGTATCATATGATATTTGTCTTTCTCTGACTGACTGCACTCAGCATGATGATTTCTGGGTCCATTCATGTTGCTGTGAATGGCATTATTTTGTCCTTTCTATGGCTAATATTCCATTGTATATATGTACAACTTGTTTTCTATTCATTCCTCTGTTGGTGAACATTTAGGTTGCTTCCATGTTCTGGCTATTGTACATAGTGCTACAATGAACATTGGGGTGCATATATCTTTTCAAATTATGATTTTCTCTGAATATATGCCCAAGAGTTGGATTGCTGGATCATATGGTAGCTCTATTTTTAGTTTTTTACAGAATATCCATACTGTTCTCCATAGTGGCTGCACTAACTTACGTTCCCACCAACAGTGTAGGAGGGTTCCCTTTTCTCCACATCTTCCTCAGCATTTAAGAAAAAAGCATATTGGTTGCCCCTAAAACATCTGGTAAGCCAAGCTTTGAAAAGCTAGCTACCTCGAGGAGTATTTTCTCCTCACACTACCAAAATAGATAATACTAATAAAGGAGTCCAAGAGAATTGTCCCATGCCACGAAGCATTTGCAAGTGTGAAAACAGGGACACTTATTTCCCTAAGTGTGCATTTAACGATAGGTCCCTGCCATAAAAATAAAAATGAAAGAAAGGACATAATCCTACTTCCATAAGTGTCACTCAAAGCCATAAAATATTCATCATAAACCTTATCTCTTGTAATCTGGAGAGAACCAAAACTCAACTTCAAGAACAAAATGAATTGTTTTACTTGATCTATAAAGGGAAATCTTGAAAGAGAAAGGACAAAAATGAGCTCAATGAATAGATGAATTCCAGCTTTTGTGACTAGATAGTGTGTGGACAAAAATGAGCTCAATGAATAGATGAATTCCAGCTTTTGTGACTAGATAGTGTGTTTTCATTGTATTATGATTTTTAATTGAAAGTCATTCTGACATTCTAATAAAGTGTGAGCTCTTGCTGGACTCTCAAGAAACAACAGATATACAAATATATATTTCCATATATGTATATATGGAACTAAAGTGTGCAGTAGATAGAGAGATGCATGTATTGGGGCATGACTGCTGGAAGAGGTGAGAAGAGGGACATGGTATGAGAGGCAGGTGGTTAATACATCTGAGACTCAGTGCCGACAGCTATTCTCTTAAGTTCTGCCGTTGCTACAGGATGTTGGATGTTAAAGTTGAGGTTGGAAATGAGTTCTAAAAACACAACTCTATTCTCTTTGTCTCAAGCTATGTTCTTTATTTTGAAACACTGAACAGTAAATCCCACATAATTATTATGTCAGCAGGCTCATTTAAGCATTTTGGAGCCAATGAAATTGTTGGGGGTGGGGGACAAAACCTAAAAGATAATGGATTGTTTATGGAGGGGACTATCTCCACCTCAAAATTATTCTGTCATTTGAGATACACATTATGTGTATAACATGACTTCCATGAGCCAAATTTATACTGAACATTTAACTCTTTACAAGTGAATTGCTAGGGGATAACATTTTTGATTTTCAAATGAATTCATTATTGCATGTATTGGGTCAACTTTTTAATATACTACACCAAAGATACAAATGTCCTGGTTAATGAAATGAATTGTTTAAAATACTGGACTGTTATTTCTCAGAGGTAAAGTTGAAAATTACAAAGTCATCTTTTTCATTCTTACCTCTCAACAAAGGTTTCCTTTTATACAAGCAACATTTAAAAAAATATATATCTGTGTTGGATTGTCACCAAACTACATACGCTTTATTGGTTGATATATATGCCTCAGAGCCACTAACATAAAATTACATTGAGCTTGAAATGGAACCTATTAAATGAACTTTTGCTGTATCATATGTGCTTCTTATCCTCAAAATTGAAGATACTTGCATAGGTTGTCAGATTTTTTTCCCAGGGAGAAATTTGGATAATCTACTTATGATTTAATGCCAGGAAACAATCATTTATAAAACACACCCTTGAGTCCTTAAACAGTCAATAAAGCTTGCTACAGTGCACTATATATGTCCCAAGAGTAGCCTAAATACCTGGAGAATCTGGCAAGCTGTATAAGAATAGTTCAGCTTAAATCATACCCATATGCTAACATATTTTTTATTACAACATGAAATGGCTTGGTATCATTCAGGAAGTGTGTCCATTCTTACGGAATTCATTAAGAATCATCTGACCTCTCCATAAAATCTGTCTCCCAGAGTGGCATATTTAGGCTCCCATCTCCATTGAAAAATATTCACTGTGAAATTTCATGTGTAAGCAGTAAATTATCAGGACTACACAGTGGAGCAATTTTAGAAATAGCTAATCAAAGCCAATAAATTTCCCATTTGGGTGTGAGTATGTGGTGGTGAGATCTAATAAGGGCTGTTGATAGACATTCACTGTCCCAATTTCCTGCTTCATCAGAGCGTGTAACTGAAGTGAAGACTGACATCTTCGTCACCAGTTTCGGACCCGTTTCAGACCATGATATGGTAAGTGACTCTGCAATTTTGGTTTTCCTGGAGTATTTCCTAAATTTAACTTTTGAAAGGAAAAATATGGATTAGGTTTTTAGGAAGTAATTTGCAGTGCCCTGGCTATATCTTTGTGTTTCTTTGTGTGCATAATAAGTAATATATCATATATATGTGATATATGTATATATAATATTTACATAATGGAAAATACCCATTTACTTTTCAGGCCAGGCCTGTTTATAGTTATCAACCACTGCAGTCTTCTTTTGTTCCACCACTGAAATTATTCCTTTGCCTTGGTCTACGTTCTGTGATTCAAATAGTGTGAATTACCTTATATTTTAGTTAGGAGGACATATTGATTGAAGAATGTTCCCTTTCTGGATGGCTAGGACTGTTATAGAATAACTGTAAACACCTCAATTTCTGAATTATTTTTGGTTAAAAAGGAGAAATATGTATAAAAGCTGAGCAAATACTTGACCAGAATTAGACTGAGAATGAAATAACACCTGTGGGAAAGGTTCAGCTTCACTGCAAAAGGCAATCATTAAATTATTACCAAGAGTGAGAATAAAATGAATACATACCTGTTCTCTCTTTTCCCAATCCAAATGAACATGATTTTCTCTTCTATCTGATGGGAGTTGGTAAGTCTGTAAAGCTCTGCAGAGATTACGTAATATTTCTGAACTCTTGACAGCCAAACTCCTATGGAAGCAAAAAATCATAAAGAGGCCATAAGACACATCATTACAGCTATTTTGAAGATACATTAATAAAATATTATTTTTGAAGGATCTTTTTGTTTACACGATCTTAAAAGTCTTCTGATTTCCTAATAGCTCAGATGATTCAGAGTAAATTTTAGAGAAAATAACAGTTTAGACCAACATTTTCCAAAGTGTGGAAATTCACAAGGCACCCAGATGGGCAGGGTTAGAGCTCTGACCAGTCCCGCCCAAGGTAAGGTAAACTGTTGAACTACACTTAATCTAAGTGTTTCAATCATATTTGCCCCAAACCCTTTTCTTCAAGTGATGCTTGTTGACATTCTGTGACTCAAACATTGGGCAATGCTGACTTAGGATAATTAGATTTTGTTGTTTTTGTTTAGTCTCTGAGTCATGCCCAACTCTCTTGCTACTCCATAGACTGCAGACCACCAGGCATCACTGTCCATTGGACTTCCCAAGCAAGAATACTGGAGTAGATTGCCATTTCCATCTCCAGGGGATCTTCCCAACCCAGGGATTGGATCCATGTCTCCAGCATTGACAAATGGATTCTTTACCACTGATCCACCAGTGAAGCCCCAGGATAATTAGATACTTTACACCCAAGACAGGTTATGAATATAACCTGTACAGATTAGGGTCAGTGGAGCATAGGAGAGATAGCAGAGTGGTAGGTAAGAATACAAATTTCTGAACCAGAATGCTTGGGTTTATAATACCAGACCTTCTACTAGATAAGAGTATATCTGTCCTTGGGGAAATTACTTAATATGTCTCTGCCTCAGCTTATTCATGTGTGAAATGGGGTAACAATGATAACTCATGGAGTTATCACAAGTATTAAATGAATTAATACGTGAAAAGCACTTAAAAATCATTGGCATATCCTAAGCACTCAATAAATGTCAACCACTATCACTATGTAAGAAAAAGAAATATTAAAGTTAGCCAAAATGGTGGATTTAGTCCTCTGGTAATTCATTTTGCCATTATGGTCAGTCTATAGACCACTTTATTGAAATACTGTGCAATGTAATAATTTTTACAAACTTGATTGTGGTCTGAAAACTATTGTGATTCTCCCACATCGTGACTCAGTCTTCCCACAAAACTATTATTCTCTCATGCTGCTTTCTAATTAAGAAACTTTAATATATCCCAGTTCAGTTTAAGGTCAAATTTAAGCTCCTCTACCTGTATCCCATAATAACCATACATGTTTTTACCACTCATCCTCACTTGTTCCCATTGACTGTTTATGATCTGCATAAGTATTACTTTCTGTGAGGCATACCCTTGGGGGCTAGAACGACTGACTCTAGGACTCAGCCTTGCTGAATTCAAATTCATCACTGGCAGCAGAGAGACCTTGGAGTGAATCAGTCTTTAAGGCTCAAAGCCTCTGAAGTTGATATATTATCACAGTTACCTGTCCTCGTAAGACTTCAACAACAGCATCCTTGTAGGACTGTTAGGAATTTTAAATGAGATACATAAATAAGGGTCTATAGATAGTGCTCAATAAATACTATTATTATTTTTGTCTCTGAACCCGTTATGATGGCATTCACCCTTTGTAGAAATTTCCTCTGATCTCTATCCATTTAAATTTTGTATTTCCCCAGAAGTCCAAATCAAGACCCAGATGCTTAATGAAAACTTTTCTTTTATTCATCCAATAACAAATTAACTTTCCCTTTCTGCATTCAATCACATTTATTGCCTGTAAAATACAATTTAGCTTTTGGTCTCATATATAGCATTGTTTTGTTAAGTTACTTATATTAGTATCTTATTTTCCTAAAGTGATGCCAAATGACATAAAGGCAAGCTTGTTTCACATCTCTTATACTATCAATGCATTGCTGTTTTACAGTAAGTGTTTAATTTCTACTTACTTGGTAAAAGGTTTATGAGTGTACATTGACTTTTAAAAATTAAGGTCTTCGGGGACTCAGTAAATAACACCCTGTTTCCTACCTGAGTTCTGATTGTTTTGAGAAATAAGATAGCAGAGTAAAGGACATGAAAAAGGAGGATATCATCTTTATTACTAATAATGGTGGCATTCTGAAAGGTGGCTTATATCTGCAGACAAGTGGTTCCCAGATAGTAAACACCAGGGTCAGCCAGAGTCACCCACCCCGTCAGCAGGCAGCATTGGTTTCCTTCTGCAAGAGTGGAGACTGTTCACATAAAACGTGTAGCATGGAGGAACACAATAGCATTTGTGAGTCTAATGGACAGCCAGCATCAAAAATGGAGAAGACAAGAGGAAGTTGTTGAGATAGGCAAGATTAATTTCTCCTTCCACATTCTTCTGTCAAGTTAAATTACTTGTCCTCTCTCCCCTCTCTGAATAGAAGAGTGTGAGAGAAAGGAGAACTTTCAGAAGTTTTGCACTGGTGAAGCTTTCTTCTCATAGATGGACACACCATGAGAGGGGCTAAAGCATTACAGATAGTGCACACTGATAAAGATATTACGCCTCCTCCTAATAATAATAAGCCTCTGTGCTTAGGTGCTTAGTCGTGTCTGACTCTTGGTGACCTCACGGACTGTGGCTTACCAGGCTCCTCTGTCTCTGGGATTCTCCAGGCAAGAATACTGGAGTGGGTTGCTATGCCTTCCTCCAGAGGATCTTCCTGACCCAGGGATTGAACCCAGGTCTCCTGCATTGCAGGTGGATTCTTTACTGTTTGTGCCATCAAGGAAGCCCAATAATCATAATAAATGACTATTCTGTGTCTCTGGCACCTAGCATGATGTCTCATGAGTAGATACTCAATAGAAATTATTGAGGGACAGTGCCCAAATAAAGCCATATGCAGTCAAACACTTTTCTCTTGAAAAATATTTTGCTTGAACAGTGATGTCTTTTCTCTTAGACAAAAGATTCTCACTAGGATTTTGGATACACTATTAACTCTAAGAGTACCATAAATTACTTTTTACACATGGGTCTTTAGTCAAATAATCAGTTAAGAAGAAGGGAACAGAGTCTAAACCAGTGACACTGTTTTGCCTAAAACTCTTAAACAAGCCAACATTTGAACTGTTCTGTCAAAGAAGCAAATTAGCTATAAGTCTGCAACTGATTTCCTAAGTGACTAGTGGGAACTGTACCTAACCACTTTTGAGAAGATTAATATTTAAACTATATTATGGGAGAATGATCCATAAGAAAGAGTGGTATGATTTAGAGGGTATCAAAATTAAAAGGCAGAATGGCAAAGCTATTTTTCAAGACAGGAAATGCAGTTTTTAAACTGAGTATTAATAAAGAACTAAATAATAGTAACCATAACAACATTAAACACTATTGAATGCTTATGTTAGGCACCATGCTGAGGGTTTTATAGATCATATATCTTTTAATCCCCATCCCAAAATTTTTGCTACATGTTATTATTATCCATATTTTCCAGAGTAGAAAAGTAACCCAGCTAGGTAGCAACTTGAACTCAGGCTGTCTGTCCTTAGAGATTCCACAGATCCCAAAGTATCTGACTTCATCTGGAATAGAAGACAAAATTAGGACAACTCCTTAACTTTATTTTAAAAACCATTAATTGGCAATCAAATTGCACATTCCCAGGGCACAAGGTTCTGACAAAAATATCTAGGCGGCACAATCAGAAAGCCCTGTTTTCCATAGTGCTTAAAATGTATTAAACCACAGCACACACAGATGGTAATAAGTTGTGCAAGTGGGAACACTTCAGTACAATATTTATTTAGGAACATAACGGATGTTGTGTCCCTGTCTTCAGAATAAGGCTCATATTCTCCAGGGACCTGCTCTATTGAAAAGGGGAACTGGGAGAGAATTTTCGCTTGAGTGGTGGAGGCTGGAACACTGAACCCTGAAGGAAGTATTCACCAACACTTCTTATTTGTCCAGACACTTTCTGTGGAGTCTCCTCTTTTGCATTCTGTTTTTGTTTTACTTAGTTATGACCACTTTCTCACTTTCTTCATTTCCTGTCCTACCACCCTTCCAAAGAAATAGCACTTTTTCATTCCCCGATACCTTGAAATCTAATACAGATTTGTATTGATAAAAAAAAAAAAAAACAAAATGGGAGACTAATAGTAACTTTTAACGTTTACTGAGAACTTCTGAGCTCTAGACCTTGCAAGTTGTTCACTTGTGTTAGCTCACTTTTGACCACAGGCAAGTGGAATGAGTATTGCAATGATCCCTACTTTATTGGCAGCAAAAGCATTAGAGTAAATAAGAAAATGGCCTAAGGCCGTTCATCTGGAAGGACAATTCAGTTCTAGTTAGCAGATTTATAATTTACATTTGTAAGCTTTATGCTATGACTCTGCCCTCTCCTTCTTGTTTTGACTTCCTAAAGAAGGAGCTCTGGCACATCTTGGTCTAGTGAATTTCAATCACGGGGAGAGGTCAGGCTACACAAGTAGCTACTTGGAGCTGCCTGCAGCTACATGGCAATATTGCAGGGGCCATTCCCAAAACATGGGAAACCAAATATTTCATTATTGATTAGGTAAGAAGTGTTCACGATCAACTGCTTTTATATCAGCTTTTAATTTTTACTTCTAACAGAGGAAAACATAGAAATTAAAGCTTATTTAATTTTGCTCTTTGTGCATGTGTATGCATGTGCGTGCACATGCACGCTTGTGTAACCAGAAGGATATTTGAAAAGAGAGTATCTTAAATAAATTTGGGATTTCATTGTCCACCATTAACACAGGAAAATAAAGCTAGTTCTTAATATGTTAAACTGTAAGCCTTAGGAGCTTGGCAAGTTTTGACATTTTTTTGGGATCTTAGCCTTTGGGTTACATGTTGTCAAAGACTTGATGATAAATATTTTTTATCTTATAGATAACATTTATTTTATATTCAAAAACCTCCTTGGAGCAAGCAAACAAGTGAACAAATGTTTTAGATTCATGGTAATATGGTCAGCTTAGACATCCTTGGAGCCTTGATTTACAAATGACCCTTGCCTCCACTGTTGACCAGGCTGAAGTTTTGCAGCCTAATAAAGTATAGAGCTTATGTGACTAACTCCTGAGTAACAGACATAGATAGCATCATTGTCATAGCCCTGACTGACAAGTTTGTCTGTTGTCCAGAGAAGAGAACATGCTCAGCTCAGACTAAACCCATCCATTCCGCTTCCCTGGCAAGCACTCCTACTCTGGATCCCTTCCTAATGCAATCCACAGGCACTCTCCTCATTTCTCTCCCCATGAAAAACGCTATTCTAAGCCCATCCTACTCCTCCACAAGTTTCTCCTATAGCTTCCAAGTCTAAACAGTTTCTCCCTCTGTCAAATTTAACAGATGCTTAACACATGTTTCTAAGTAAATTCCTACGTCACATATCCCAGTGCCTCTCATCTGACACTTCCAGACAGAAAAAACAGTAACTTCTCTTGCCTGCAAAGATAAACTGGTGTCATGTTACACTTTTTTATTTCTTATCTCAATCAGCATTTACCACTATGCCTGGTGCATTATAGACTTTGTTGTTGTTCTTTAGTGGCTAAGTCATGTCCAACTCCTTCAGGACCACATGGACTGTAACTCACCAGACTCCTCTGTCCATGGGACTTTCCAGGCAAGAATACTGGAGTGGGTCGCCATTTTCTTCTCTAGGGGATCTTCCTAACCCAGCGATCGAACCATATCTCCTGCATTTGCAGGTGGATCCTTTACCGCTGAACCACTAGGAAAGCCCCTCATTACAGACTAACCAATAATAATTTTTACTTGATCAGTAAGGGCTCAGCAATGCCAAACTAGTGCTCTGAAAATTTTCATTCAAGCTTTAGCCAATTTTGCATTAACCCTCGGAAAGAAAGACATAGTAAAATTCATGCCCAAAAAGACTGAACATAGATACTGCTTATTTTACATGCCCTACAGACAACATGTATAAAATTAAAAAAAAAAAAAGAAAAAAAAGCAGCTTTCTGATACATCAGGGTTAGGGGTTTAAGACAATGGAGCATGATATTTTTAAGTTAGCTTTCCTTCCAGTTTGGAGCATTCTAAGATTAATGGAGAATATGGTAGTCTTTATTTCAAACCACTGAGTTCCAATTTTAGTGTCAGTGTAGCAAGTCCTGCAAGAAAGATTGATATTATTACCCCTTTCAATTTTAGGAGCTGGTAAATCTCATTGCTTGTTTTCAGATTAGCAGACGTTTGTCTCTGGGTATTGCCATGAAGAATGGTGCATTTATTCAAATAAATAGATGCCCTGGCTATGAATGATGAGGAGCTTCACACCGTTTCTCATGTGCCTCATACACCTCAGTTCAGTTCAGTCGCTCAGTCGTGTCTGACTCTTTGCGACCCCATGGACTACAGCAGGCCAGGCCTCCTTGTCCATCACCAACTCCCGGAGTTTACTCAAATTCATGCCCATTGAGTTAGTGATGCCATCCAACCATCTCGTCCTCTGTCGTCCCCTTCTCCTCCTGCCTTCATTCTTTTCCAGCATCAGGGGCTTCTCAGATGAGTCAGTTCTTCCCATCAGGTGGCCAAAGTATTGGAGTTTCAGCTGAAACTCATACACATATATACTCACAAAAACACACTCACATACCTGCATACTCTGAATTCTTTTTTTTTTTTTTGAAAAGATGCAAATTACCATTGTAATGGATTTCTTGTTTTTATAATCTTCTTCATTGTGTAGAACTGAAAGTCTGTATACATTATTTGTGTGGGAAAATTTTTACTTAGCCAAAAAAAATGGTTACTTAGCCAAAAAGATTATTTCAACATTAGCATCATGGATGTCTTGGGATTGGGGTTTTCAGAGACCATGAGAGGGTCCCTAGAATGTTATACTCTATTTTTAGAACTAAAATTGTCTAATTTAAACATTTTCATGTATGTAATAACCTGTAACATGAGTTCTGTTTTTATTTGCAATATATTCTGTCCCTTTGAGTACTGATATGATGGAGGTGGGATGGAAGTAAGGTACTAAGTTCCTTTCACATATCTGAGAAAATATTCAGCAGAATTTTTCTGACCAAATAATATTTGACATTTTAGATATTTTTAAAGTGATTATGCCAACCAAGGATTCACTTGACACCAATAGGTTCAGGCCACCACAAATTTACTTGTAGAAATATCATCCAGCTTATGTTTTGCTTCTAAAGTTTCAAAAAGGATGCACGGTCTTCATAAGACGTTTGCATTACAAAATACAGCACAGTGAACTCTTTGCCATTTTCCCAAATTACCTAGGAATATACAATAGATGTATTTTTCCGTCAAAGCTGGAAGGATGAAAGGTTAAAATTTAAAGGACCTATGACAGTACTGCGATTAAATAACCTAATGGCAAGTAAAATCTGGACTCCGGATACCTTTTTCCACAATGGAAAGAAGTCAGTGGCGCACAACATGACCATGCCGAACAAGCTCCTGCGCATCACAGAGGACGGCACTCTGTTGTACACCATGAGGTACGGAAGACTGTGCTTTCCCCCGGGAAGTTTTCTAGACCTTCTCTTCCATGTGTAGATTAGCATCAAGCTGATGGGCCGTTGTAGTACATCTGGCTTCCTGTTTTCCCTGTTTTTCAAGTTTAATACTTACTCTACTATGAAAACTAAACAGGCTGAGATATTATGCAAGTCAAAGTGTTAAGCAAAATGATTAGACAAAAATGAAGATGTTTACAATGTATATTAACTAATGCAATTTATAGCTCCAGTATATTCTAATTCAATAGAGAAACTTCTCTCTACTATTACTTCATGGCTTCCTGCCTTACAGTAAGGTGTGGATTAAATTTCTAGAAGCTATCTCAAGGTATATATCTGAAAATGTTTCTATTTAAAAAGAAGTGGGGAAAAAATGGAAAATATAAAAAGTTCAAAATTTTTAAACATAAATTCATGACACAGTATACCTATTGAAGTGTATTAATTCACAATGATGTTGTTAATGAGAAAGAATATAAATATTACCAATTTTGCTTAAACTGAAGACTGCATGTATATTTTTACTTTATAAATATTTCCCCCATTTTGAGATTACTGGACAGCTCAGCATCTGAACCAATCATTCATTTATGGTTAGATGAAAGAAGCCTGAATCAAAAAAAAAGTTTTAAATATTTTTAGATTTTTTTTTATTTATGAGAAACTCATTGAGGACTCATAAATGAGGACTTATTCTTAAAGGCACCTGTTATTTCATATCCAAATGACTTGTTGAAATATTGTTTTTGTAGATCTGGCCAGCACTTGCTAATTTAGGCCATTCAGTTATTCCTTTGGTATGAAGAGGTAATGAAGGGAACTCCTAGACTTGGAGGAGTCTGTTTAGAATGAAAGTAGAGTGATATTTTGCCTTTAGAGAAAGCTTCCAAAATTTCTAGCTTTTTATACCCAAATATCCAAATAAGAAACAAAGAAAACATGCTTCAGGTGCCACTGGAGATAGATGTTGGACTCAACTAGTAAAAGTGTAATAGGACTGAAGGAATGAAAAATCCAGAAAAGAGAGAAAGAAAATAGGGGATCAGTGGAAAGGTATGTTGAGAACTTTCTAGATCTTCCAAGCAGGATCTGTTTATATTTGAAATTGGAAATATTTTTCCCTTGTAAAATATCCTACACTTGTTTTTGAGCCTAAATCTAGCATGTATTTCTACTAGCTGGCAGTTACCTGAGTAGGGATTTGTACATACTAAGAAGTTTATCTATTCAAGGTTCCTGATGTGTCTAATATTCTTTATCAGGAACTAACATAATCCCCTTCTCTGAAATGTCTCACAACCTTTGCTAATTTGTTACCACTTTCCTTAATAGTTTGACTTAAGGATATGAGTTTAGTTATTAATTTAAACATTTCATATTTACTTTAATTAATATTATAATGACCTCATGATTTTACTGGTTACAAAGACACCTTATCACATTTCTTGAGTTACCTAATAATATAGATAAAGATATTTTCTGAAACTTATGTGAGGAATTTAGGTACAAATTTTCCATAGTTCCACCAAATGAGATCAAATATATTTCAGTGAATTCCTTTCTTGACTACCCTTTTAAAACATAAATAGAATTCATGTTCCCAGAACATAGGGACTAAAAAGAAGTTCTGCAGAGTCCTGGCTTCCGTTAGGCAGTGGGTTTGTAAATAAAACGAAACAGTTGGAATAGAGTGAAATCACATATAAAGGAGTCTAAGTGACTCTCAGCTTCACAAAGTCTGAGGACAGCTCCTCCCTCACCTATCCCTTTGTTGTTTAATGCATTTGGTGCTATTTTAGGGAATGACGTGGGGAACTAGATGGTCCCAGAGACCAGCACTGAAACACAGACATTACCATATGTGAAATATGTACGATGCAGGGAGCTCAAGCCCCAGTGCTCCATGTAATTCTTTTCAGATCCTTTGACTATTAACAACTCAGTATGACACTGCTGTTTGTGCTTTTCATTCTTGCTTTCTTAATATATTTGCTATAGGTAATAACATCCCAATCAGATTTATCAGAAAGTATCTAATCTACCCTATATTCCTCTTAATTTCTAAGACTGACAGTGAGAGCTGAGTGTCCAATGCATTTGGAGGATTTCCCTATGGATGCACATGCCTGCCCACTAAAATTTGGAAGCTGTGAGTAAAGTTATTTTATTTTTGATTCTTATGAGAGTATGTCTTTAAGCAAGCAACCTCCAATTCATTATGAACGTTAGAGAGACAGATAAAGAGTATCAAGAAAACTTAAATAGTGATTTATTGCAAGTGCTTTCAATAAGTAACCATCTTTACTTCACTATTTAATATCATTTCAGGAAGGGGATTCCCTATCCTCTGGAGTAGAAAAAATGAATTTAACTATTTAGTAGAAAAATTCCATTTTCGTTCAAGTTGTATTCATAGAAAACCAAATGGAATATGGATGTGTATGCCTCATAGATACCATCTTCTTTCCAAAAATGGAGGTCATTGTGTTTATTTTATATCATTACTGACATTTCTTTATTCTTAATAATTTGACTTGTTTATCAGATGGAAATATTGGTAGATGGCAAAGGACAATAATTAGGTTTTCTTAATAATGAAGCCTTAACCTAAAGATGATACCAGAAAAGAAGTTAATTATAGTCTTAAAACAGTTTTAGATCTGTTTGGATAGCTCATGAAATTTAGTTACATGTTATTGCTTCTGAAGACATCTTAGATAAATTCACTTTGTCATAACTTTCAAGGTTTCTACATCGTTAAAATGTGCAGGCACACATTAGAGAGGCTCAGAGAACAGTGGCCAGCAGGTTAGTCTCTCTGCTCTTCCCGTTTTTCTGCTTTTGACTAGCGTGCACGCATAAAGTGAGGAGGAATAATGTATTCCTGGTTTCCTGCAGGGGAGTTACATATAAGGACTGACTCAACTTCTGGACTAACCTAACCAGCTTTCTGTTCTCACTAGTCAGGCAATCTGAGCAACTATTTTGGTGAAGATATGATTCATAGAAGAAAAATAGTGGTAGTGTAGGAAGACAGCAAGCAAAGAAAATAGCAAAGGGCCTTCAGTCTCCTAACAGTACTAATCATGGAGAGACAACTTTCTCTATTTATAAATCTCATTCTATACTAAAACCCAAGGATAAACTACCTACATCAAAAACTGTCAGCTACACAGGCCATTGGTGATAACTATCCCCTCTCAATCCTTTTCCCAATGTAATGTATGTTCTATGCCATGACCTATTACATTTCTTTTTTTTGATTACCAGTTCCATTTTTAATGATAATATTTTGTATTATGTGTTACTTATATGCCAGGAAGTGTATTAAATATTTGTAGATGAATCAACTCAGCTAATCCACAAAATAACCTTATAGTTCAAGATATCATACAAAATCAATACTCTTTTTGCCTGAAATGGTACTGATTTATATCTAAAATCCTAATATAACTAATAGTATCCCCTTTTGTCTTCAGAGATATCTTGTTTTAGACATTTAACTATATGTTTAGTATATTAACCAGGAATACTTTTAAGCAGTGAGTATAGCTTAAAAAAAGGAGTCTAAATTTTCATACAAGATATATGAAGGCAAGTGATTATTGGTTAATTGCTGGTTAATTTAGCATCTTAACAAGGATGATGTTTTAAGATATTCTTAGAAGTTCTTCCTGATGACAGAATGTTTGCTGCTCCTCCAGCCATTGCCTCCACTTTCAAAATAAAGAAAAATAGGGAGCAGAGAAGAAAGGAATAATGCCTGTATCAAAAAAAACTTTCCCTAAAATCCTAACAGACATCTTCTCGCATCTCATTAATCAAAGCTATGTCACATGACCAATGCTAAATGCAAAGGAGGCTGGAGAAACAAGGCACATTTAGCTGGGCACACTGCATCCTGAAGAAAATGGATGAGTGGAACACAAATAGTGTCTTATATAAGAAAACTGAAATTTAAAGACAAACAAGTAAGCTGTTTTCTACCTCAGAGCCTTAGCATGTGCTCTTTGCTCTGTCGCAGTTACCTTTCCCTTGTTTCTTAGCATAGTTGGTTTTATTTATCCCTTACATCTCAGTGTAAACATTAGTTTCTAGGACCTTTCAAAATATGTATGTAGTCCCATCAGTCTTCTTGATCATAATACACATTCATTTTATACCATTTATCACCGAGATAATTGTTAGGTTTTTTTTTTTTTTTCCATTTATTTTTATTAGTTGGAGGCTAATTACTTTACAACATTGCAGTGGTTTTTGTCATACATTGAAATGAATTAGCCATGCTTTTACATGCATTCCCCATCCCGGTCCCCCCTCCCACCTCCCTCTCCGCCCTATCCCTCTGGGTCTTCCCAGTGCACCAGGCCCGAGCACTTGTCTCATGCATCCAACCTGGGCTGGTGATCTGTTTCACCCTAGATATACATGTTTCAATGCTGTTCTCTTGAAACATCCCACCCTTGCCTTCTCCCACAGAGTCCACAAGTCTGTTCTATACATCTGAGTCTCTTTTTCTTTTTTTGCATATAGGGTTATCATAGTTTTAACATTGTTATTATCTGGAGACTGTAAACTCTTTGAGAGCAAAATCTATTTTGTTCTGCATTTTCTAGCACAGAGCCTAATAAAATGTAGGCACTCAGGAAGTATTTATTGAATGGGTAAAGAATATAATCAGGTTTTAAATATCTGTTCAGTATTTAAGCCTCAGAAAAGAGAGTTTAGGGACTGTGGAGATTTAAACCTCAACAGAGAAGACATATATTGAATAGTAGGCTCAGATGGCATATGCTTGGTGGGAAAGAGGACCATGGTGAACCGCTGTGCCTGCCCGTGGTGTGGGAAATGGCAGTGGTTGTACACTTACCGTGTAGTCATTTCTCTAACCTGGCCTACCCAGCATATTTCAGAGATGAAGAAGTTAAGGCAAAGTGATCTGGAAATGTTTTGACTCAACTTTTAAAGGAAACACCTTGCCAAAATCTCAGAGAAGAGAATAAGGAAGAGATAAGCAAGATAATTTTGTGATAATTTATTAAAGCACTATGTAGTAAAAGATTTTAAAGTACTTGAAGTAACTTCATGCACATGTTGATAAGAACCAAACTTGGAAAAGCAGATGACTTCCTTACCACTCTCCATGAGATTCTGAATGTCAGTGTTACATTACACTTTCTGCCTGTTAGGGATAACACCCTTTGTATAAGGCCAGATAACTCGAAGATAATATATGGAGGCAGCTGACATCTTTTAACTGAGGAATATACAGTATAAGGCTTTGATTCTAGAAAAAGTAAGATCTAGGCAAGTGCTAGATGTAGTAAGGATTTAATAAATGATCGTTTCCTGACTGATTACCAAGCAGTGTCTTATAAACAAGAAGAGAGGGAAAGAATTATGAATAATAAATAATTTTAGAAATTATTTAGTGGACCTGCCTCATGCAAATGAAAAAACAAAGGCTCATAAACCTAAGTGACAGTGTCAATTAGCAGGTGCCCTTTTGATACTGTCTATGCTGTCTTTGTTTTTTTTTTTTTTTAGTTTATTTAAAAGTGTTTATTGAATTTGTTACAGCATTGCTTCTGTTTTTGTCATTGTTCAGTTGCTAAGTCATGTCTGCTTCTTTGCCACCCCATGTACTGCAGCATGCAAGGCTTCCCTGTCCTTCACTATCTCCCTGACTTTGCTCAAACTCATGTCCATTGAGTCAGTGATGCCATCCAACCATCTCATCCTCCTGCCCTCAATCCTTCCCAATATCAGGGTCTTTTCCAATGAGTCAGCTCTTCGCATTAGGCGACCGTAGTATTGGAGCTCCAGCTTCAGCACCAGGCCTTACAAATCTTCTGCACTCAGCCTTCTTTACGGCCCAGCTCTCACATCCATACATGACTACTGGAAAACCCATAACTTTTGTTTTACCTTTTGGTTTTTTGCCCTTGAGGCATGCAGAGTCTTAGCTCCCTGACCAGGGATCAAAGCCGCAACCCATGCACTGGAAGACGAAGTCTGAACCACTGGACCCACCACGGTAGTCCCTTCTCCCATCATTTAAAATTTTTATCTTATCTACTGATTTATTTGAAATGTGAGCTTAACAGTTTTGACTAAGTGATTGAAGACTTTCTAACCTTTTCTCTAGGCTTTAAAGTGTCAAATCAAAAAAGTTTTTATAGGTCCTACTTCTCAGATACTGACACAAAGGAATAGTAAGATGTATCACCTATTGTGGAGCTTTAGGTTGAGGCTTTAGGTGTATCTGTCTTCTATATTTAAAACAAGAAATTTCATCATGTGAATTTACTCTACATTTTGGAAGATTTCTATTAAGAGATAAAGACAATGAGTAACCACCACTTTGACAACAATAGCATATTTGTGGTGGATTTCATACACAATGGAGTTTCTAAGAAACTGCAAGGAATGAAATACTGAATCATTTGATATAAGTTGATAGTAACACTTTTTGTTTCCCTCTACAACTATAGTAGCAGTCCATTGGCAACGCAAGACAAAGTATAAAAAGACAGATCTAGGCACTGTTGCTAATGACAGTGCAAAAAAGTCACAAGAGCTCTAATTTGTCAAGAAAGGACACCGGTCTAGAATAGGCTTCATCATTACTTACATGACCACCAGTTATCTTTACTTAGCTTTTGAGAGTATAGTAGAGATTTTTTTCTCTAGAAAATTCTTGGCAGCAGTGGAGTAGAATGAATAGCATTCTATATTCTTATATTGGTTATCCTTCTAAGTAACTGTGGTGGTGTAGTCTGGTTTTCCCACAAATTAACTGTGGTAGTGGTTGAGTCTCTTAAATTGTGTCCTACTCTGCAATCCCTTGGACGATAGCCCACCAGGCTCCTCTGTCCATGGGATTTCCCAGGCAAGAATACTGGAGTGGGTTGCCATTTCCTTCTGCACAGGATCTTCCTGACCCAGGGATTGAACCCAAGTCTCCTGTGTCTCCTGCTTGGCAGGCAGATTCTTTATCACTGAGCCACTTAAACAAAAGGAGATAAACAATGTGACTCTAAAGTCCTTCCACATTAACATTCAGTGATTCCAGGTACCATAAGCCCAGTATGTCCTCTTTGGTAAGACCCTTCCATTTGACAAACAAGTTTGTCAAAAGAGTGGCAAAACATATGGACCATTTTCCATTCTTCCCTTTTAGATGCTTATACAAGAGCAGAAGTTGTTTATGAGTGGACCAGAGAGCCAGCACGCTCAGTGGTTGTAGCAGAAGATGGCTCACGCCTAAACCAGTACGATCTCCTTGGACAGACAGTAGATTCTGGAATTGTTCAGTCTAGTACAGGTAAGTGCTATTTGGTAACTTTAGATAGGGAAGAAGGAGCTGAAAAACTTTTTGTAGAAACTTGCAAATTCAGTTAAGTCCTTCAATAACAAAAGTAAGGAGAGTGAAAAATTACAGTAAACTGGGAACAGTTAGACTGGGAACTAGTTTAACCTCTATAGACCTGTGATTTTGAATTTGACATGTCATGCCGTTTGATCTCTGGTTTTTCATTTGTTTGTTTGTTTATTTACAAACCAAAGAATTGGTCCTCTGTGATCAGGGTAGCACTGTATTTAGATATGTGAACTCTTAGAGAAGAATATATGGGTTGAATACTTCTCCAAGTTGCCAGTTAATTGCGGTCACCTCATAGGGTTGTTGGAAGGAATAAATTATATCCATGAAGAGTAAACTATCACACTTTGGGCACATAAAAAAAAAAACTCTTGATAAATGTTAGCTATTAATATCATTTAGGACCCTTTTATTGTCATGATCAATAAATCTTGGTAAATTTGTAACAGTAGTCATTACACATAGGATGCCCAAACACCTTCCCCACCTCACTTCCTCCACACCTAACTTCATTTGTAACTCTAGCCAGGAACCTTCCACAGCTAAAACCTACACTGATCACTCTATTTTGGAATTAAAAGTGGATGGACCATCTCTCTTGGTGTTGTAACTGTTTTACCAATGAAATACTCAGAATTAGATCAGATTTTCTATCAAGCAGTCAAATCCAAAATTTTAAACTTTTGAAGTTGTTTCAAGAAATAAGATGAGTTTAGTTATTCAGGTATCCCTTTTGTGACTAACTGATGTGATCATAGGGCCAGATAATTACAGATAAAATTTGTGTCCTAAATATTAGGAAAACTTACTCCCTCAATCCCAATATTTTTAATTATGTTCAATTACTGAAAGCTTAGCAAGGGTCAACAATTTTGCAACTGTCTTTTAATTTTGAAATTCATTCATTAACTTTGATTTGTAATTTCTAAAAAAAAAAAGAAAAGAAAGAAAGTTAAATGATAAGTAAGGGCAGAATTGCTCTTTATCTCAGAAAATTTTCTCCCTTAAGTTTCAAACTTTATATTAGGACCATGGTCATAATCTGATCGTTCTAATTCAAGTGATAGGTCAATATATCTTACTCTGATTATTGGATAACCACTGCTTAACAGGACTTATCATTTGCTCACTTTATAGCATCCTTGGTTTCTCTAGAAGTTGAAACGTTTATGTGTCTTGTTTTGAAAAATGAAATTATTGTTCTCCATTGTGCTTTATCTACCTTAGAAATGCACATGGCATACTGGGAATGTGTTAGGCTTTGCAGTGAGAAAGATGTGCGCTCAAGTCCTAGTCCTGCCACTCAGAAGCCTGATGACATTGAGACGTTCACTTATCTAATTAGAAACTGTTCTCTTCTAAGAATGGGGAGCCTCTAATTTTGTATTAAAGATAATATCAAATGTTAATCAGAGTGTTATACAGTAGATGCTCAAAATGGTATGTTATAGTTGTTGTTATTATCCTAAAGATATCCCAGGACATGCAAAATACTGAAAATTTTTCTTTTCTCACCAAGTTATATTGGAAAAGATACTAAAATGAGCAGTGTTTACTTTTAAAAACTGAATGCTGTAATTGACTTGATATTGTGACAGGCACTACAGTCAATGAGAGACAAGACACATATCTTGCTTTCATAAAATCTGAAGTCTAAGGGAAGACAAACACATAAACTATAATTATCAAAATGGGTGTTAAGTGCTGTGATTAACATTTTTGGGACGGCAAGTCCTTCCTGTCTTCTGTGTCCCTATGATTTACTATAGTATCTGAAACAGAAGAGGCATCGAGTAAATATTTTTGAACTAATGAATAAAAAATTAGTGAATCCAGCCTGGGATAATCAAGGAAGGATTGCTTCAGGGGCTGACTTTCATTTTGTTAATATGCATTTGTTGAGTCAAATAATTGCTATTCTAGGCCAAGGCATTCAGAATAATAGACCTAGAACTTCCCCTCAAGAAATTCTCTCCCTACTATCATTAGAATGGAGGTTGGATGATGTTCAGGAAACTGTATTTCAAGTGCAGTAGCAATAGGACAAGTATATATGAAGGTTGTTGGGAGGAAGGGATGCTTCCACTCTATTCTAGTGCCAATCACCTTGATACGGCACAGGATCCCTCTTTATGTTCTAGTTCCTATGTCTGCAAAATAAGTGGCTTAGTCTGATGAACTTGGAGGCCTTTTCCCTTCTGGTTTTCTAAGCCAGCCTACCTACATTCTTGTTACTCAGAAAAGATAAAAGAGTCATAAAAGGACACCAGGTGAGAAAGAAGGGTCCAATTCACCACCACCAAGCTGGCTGGACCTCATAAGTTAGGTTCATTAAAAGTCATCATTCTGTGTTGGAGCAGCAAGTTTATCTGTACAAAATAAGAGTGTGTCCTTGTCATTTCTATAGAACATGGAGGGAGGAGGAGGAGAATAATGAGCACATTCTCAAATGTAGGAACTCAGTTTGATGTGGTTTTCCACTCCACAATAAAACCCTGAACTACACTTCCTTTGGTTCTACATTTGCGCCTCAAAAATCCACCTTAAAAGATTTCCGTGGGAAGAAACAAAGATCTTTTGTAAGGCCTTCAACCCCATATTCACATCTCCTATGAGGCAGCTTATGGCTTTGAGTTTGGTACTATAAAACATGGGTGACAGCACACTCAGAGAGGTCTGTATGGGCCCTCACGTCCTTCTAACAGGAGACCAGATATAGTCACACACACACAGTGGAAGTGGGTTAAACACACAGTTCCCTGGATATGATCAGCTATGCACTTGAAGCCTAGAGAATGCAAAAATCATGACAAACCAAAGGCACAGATAATCTAGCAGCTTAGCTTCTCCCCACTAGTCCTTTTCATAATTGACCGCATTTAGCAAAATGGACCAATTTGAATGCCCATTAATAAAAGTGTCATTAGGGCAGCAGTCAGTTTTTTACTAAGAGAAAGAGCAGGGAGCTGATACTTGCCATGTTGTACACAGCTATGAATTTTGCATCCTTGATGTTATTTCAATTTTTGTCACAATATCCACTGCTACTGGGCTTCTCAGGTGACTCAGTGGTAAAGACTCCACCAAGCCAGTGCAGGAGACATGGGTTCAGGCCCTGAGTTGGGACAATCCCCTGGAGAAGGAGATGGCAGCCCACTCTAGTATCCTTGCCTGGGAAATCCCATAGACAGAGGAGCCTGGCGGGCTACAGTCCATGGGGTCACAAAAAGTCAGACACAACTGAGCAACTAAACAACAACATGGAGCCTTGACAACATCAAGATAAAAGACAGTGAGTGTTATTATCTCCCTGTTTCTGCCAGAAGACTAGGAAAGGTTACAGATAAGTGCACATACATTCAGAATCATTAAGTAAAGAGCAGCATTTGCTACCTTAAAATTCTCTGTGAGGAGAGAAGCAATTCAGGTCACCTTCTAGAAGGTGTTGGCCTGCAACCAGCACACACATGAACACACACTCGCAACACTACCACTGACCTCTTTCATGTCAAATACCTCTAGATCACTTCAGTGCCATAGGAGGGAAAATATGAGGCTCAATCTAGTATTTGTACTTGTTTCAGTGCAAACATATTAGAAAGACAGTCCATTCATTGGAATCTGCCATCAATCTGTGGGGGGAAATGAGTCAAAGACTTAGTCTGAAGTGCACTCATTCACCTGGCAGAACAAACTTGTTTCAAGGACACAGAAGGATGAGTCTAGTCAACTTTCAAATCTGATGCAGTTCTCTGTTATCCACTCATTTGTTCCCTTCAACAATTTTCTCCTTTACTGTGTTTAACACTGTGAATGACCTAGAGAAAAGAGATGAGGGACACACACTTCCTGCTCTCAAGAAGCTCATGGTTGGGACTTCTTTGATGGTCAAGTGGATAAGAACCCACCTGCCAATGCAGGGAACACAGGTTTAATCCCTGTTCCAGGAAGATCCTACATGCCTTGGGGCAACTAACCCATGTCCACAACTGCTGAGCCTGCGTTCTAAAGCCTGTGCTCCACAGCTAGGGAAGCCACCACAACTAGAGAGTAGCCCCTGCTCTCCACAGCTAAAGAAAGCCTGTGCATAGCTACAGAGACCCAGCACAGCCAAATTAATAAATAAATGAGTAAATAAATAAATAATTGGGAAAATAAATGAAGCTCAGGGTTGAGTGATTTAAGTACCTAACATTCATTGAATTGGTCTAATCCTCACAACAGTCCTAGGATGCATGTATTATCATTTTCTCCATTTTGAAGATGGTATATAATTGAGGTCCAGAGAGGTTTAATAATTTTTCCAGGGTCACACAGCTGGGCAGTGGCAGAACTGGGATTTGAACTCGGGAAATCTCACTATAGCATGTATGTTCTCAACCATATGAAACACTAGTAACAGGAAGGATAGACAAGTGTAAAAATGCAACAATATGGTATGTCTTGGAGCATAAAAGATGGATTCTGGATTATATTGGGAGGTTTTGATTGCTGGTTTTACAATGAATTAACTGCATGACCTTTGTTCATCTTTTCTCTTGTACTTTGGGGATAATCGGAGGATCTACTTCTTTGGGGTACTGTGAGATTGAAATGAGAAAAATGCATGTAAACTGATTAGCAGAGTTTCTGACATGCACAAATCATGTAATAAATATTAGCTATTACTATTAATAATGATGAAGTTAATATGAAAAGTCTATATGATGACACTTAAGAACTCATTTCTGCTTGAAATATCAGGGAAGCTAGTTTGAAACTAGATCCCATGCATGGCCCCCATCTCATTCTACTACACCATGTTTTGCTTCCTAAGTAATTCTTTAAGGAAAGCCCACATAAAAATTATAATTGTAATTAAAGGGCATGGCAATATAACTTATATAGAGCAGCAAAATTGTTAAATTAGTCATTAGGTATAAGAATAATATCACAGCTATAAA